TCTTTGAAAATACTGTTTCTGGAGGACACCAGCTCCCATTCTCACCTCCTCCAGCAGAGCCAAAGTTGTGTTTCAAGGAAGTGACCTCCCACATCCAGCCAGCAGAGTTGGTGTCTCGATCATTTATCACATGAGACAGAAAGGTAGGATTAATTTAGTTGTTGTGCACGTGAATGATTTAATACTGTTTATTTTCAGTTAATGAGTGTGAGAGGGACAATGGCGGCTGTGCTCACACATGCCAGGACTCTCTGTTTGGATATTCATGTCATTGTCGTGAGAGATTCACCCTTGATAGCGACAGTCACAATTGCAGTGGTAAGAAATAATATGGAGAAGAGGGTAGCTATGATGTTTCTGTGAATCTACAGATATTGACGAATGCGCTACTGATCAGCATGAATGCAAACACATCTGCAAAAACACTGAGGGATCATACTCATGTGGCTGCAGCGACGGCTATACTCTGAATGAAGATGGAAGAACCTGCTCCATAACATGTGGAGGGAGACTCACAGAAGTCAGTGGGTCTTTCCACACTCCTGACTGGCCTCTCAGTTATCCCACTGAAGACTTCGTCTGTGAGTGGGTGATAGACATTGAGAACACCACTGACTCAGTCATTGAGATTACTTTCAATGATCCATATGGGATCAATGGTCGTGATCCATGTCCAACTGACTATGTGGAGGTACTGGATGGAGTAGAGGATCACTCTCATTCTCTTGGAAAACACTGTTTCGTGAGGACACCAACCCCCATTCTCACCTCCTCCAGCAGAGCTAAAGTTGTTTTCCAAGGAAGTGACCTCGCTCGTCCGGTCAGCAGAGTTGGTGTCTCCATTGCAGTTACAATGAAACAGAAAGGTATGACAGTATCTGACTGAACTGCAACGTTGGTTCTGCTTTTACATATATACTATTATGTATTAATGCTCACAGTGAACGAGTGTGAAAATGATAATGGTGGGTGTGCTCACTCCTGCCAGGATTCTGCAGGGTCTTATTCATGCAGTTGTCCTAGCGGATTCATTCTTGGTGGTGACAAACACAACTGCAGTGGTAAATTCTGAATCCTCATACTTAGAAGCGGCAGTTACTGTGCATACAACTATAGGGCAAGTCAACTTTATTTCTAGGATTAAGTTGATTCCACGCCTACATACTACATTGCCCCATTCTACACTGCAAGTCCTAGTTCTGTCAGCCGGCTCACATTAATGACATAAAGGGTTTATCTCCATTGCTCAATATGATTAAAAGCCAGATGTTTTCTTACTTCGTAGATATAGATGAATGCTCTACCAGTGTGCATGGATGCAGACAAATCTGTACAAACACTGAAGGATCGTATTTATGTGAATGTAGAGATGGATATGGTCTAGATGATAACGGGAAGACCTGCTCCATTAGTTGTGGAGGGAGACTCTTTGATTCCAGTGGAAGTTTCCAGACACCAGATTGGCCAGACAGATATCCTCAAGCTGACTTTATCTGCGAGTGGACCATCGACATGTCTGCTAATAGCTCCATTCAGTTTACTGTGGACAGTTCAGCATATGGAATCAATGGTCGTCCTCCGTGCCAGAATGACCATCTCGAGTTCTTTGATGGTATGGAGAGTGATAGTCGGTCACTTGGGAGATTCTGTAAATTGGAGGTACCTCCTTCTATTACCACATCAACTGGAGCTGCTCGAGTTGTCTTTGAGGGAAGAGAGCATCAAGATCGTCCAGCCAGTCGCAAAGGAGTTCGTGTTCTATACCATGTCATGGATTAGTTCCATAGCAAAAATAGTACTTTCGATACTATTGTGTATGCCTCATTTTAGCCCTTCACATGATCTAAAAAGTTGATGGATGCGCATCTTCACGATGGACACAAGCTATTGGGTGACACTATTAAAATTGGGAAGCGTTAGTAGCTAATGGATGTATCCATAATTATATATGAGCTTTTAACCGCTTACCTCTTATAGTCATGTGGTCTATTACAACTCCTGTTGATACCTACTCCTGTAGAGGAAGGATATTAGCTAATCCACTGTGTGGCCATATGATGAATTGTAGAGTAACGACATCCCAGCTTACTCCCTCATGCAACTCCCACCAATTCCACTATAACCATATATGCCTACCTTGTGCTATATGTTTTCATGCATGAGTAAACTGTGAGGAAGAAAGGCAAAGGCACAGCAAACAAGTAAACTACACACCCCAGGACAGCTCTTTTATTGCATATCTCAACCACTTGATAACGAGGTGGAAAGGCAAGGCAAGGCAAACTAATCAACTACATCCAGGACAGCTCTTTCTTTTCAAAGAAACAAAGAAGAGCTGCCTGGGTGGGATTCGAACCCACGACACTCTGCAGTTAGGCGAGCGCTCTACCAACTGAGCCACCAAGGCAACTCAGCTGGTAAGGGTTCGAATCTACAACACAACACATCACAACACAGTATACTCTCACTCAGTATGTAGGAGCTGACCGGGGTAATTCAACCACCAAAAGACGCCCAACTCAAAACCGTGCACACAATCTTTGTCTTCAGGATTAGTACAAACGTGAGAATCATGAACTGCAATAGGGACGGGTAATGTAAGTGCATAAGCGCTGGTATAGACAGCTTTCTTCACCGGTTACCTCAGAATTATCAATATGCGCATCTCGCTCCCTGCCTGGTAGACTGAAAGAATTGAAGACTGTGTATTCAAAAAGAGAGAGAGAAAAGTAGAAGGGAAAAATCGAGCTACCAGTGGGATTCAAGCCGGATTCGGATGGTAGCTAGCCCATGTCAGACTCTCCACGAGCTACTAGCGGGAGACCACTGGGGTTATGAATAATTATGTACCTCACCCTGTTGGTTTAAATGTGTTTCCCGTGTTCATCATGAAGTGCCATCGTAACATTTCCCTTCAATTCACAGAAAAGATTTTTACACTTGTGCAATAAAGTCATGGACAATGTGTGACACAGACTCTTCTGCCCAAAATCCAGCACGCCCCTTCAATGTATGCATCTACTTTGCAGTTGTCAATGCTGGCAAACACTTGTTATTTATGAAACCATGTAATACCAACCACCAAAATTAGCAAATATGGTTGCAGCTACCAACACTTCTTTTTACCACATCCCAACCCACCATTAACCTCTATGGCCTCATGCATAATGGTAATCTTCATATCATTTCCTGTACACATCGATTATATATTGATGGGAGACAGCCTTCTAAGTCACGCACTGGAGTCTCTATGTCTATGTCCCTGCTGTGCTTCACTGCAGTTTTACAAGTGTGAATGACATCTGTTAGCTATAAGGAAGCTACTCTACACCCACCACCAGTGGGCCACTTCAAAGTAGAATGTGGTTGCCTATCACTATAATTATGCTCATACAACCACTTTAAGACTCCAACATTAATGTATGTTTTGACTACTTCACACTATGTATGCAAATAAAAGATAATGGAAATCTCTCTGATCAATTCCACTGCACATCCCACAAAGACAATTGGTCTATCCACTCCACTCCCCCAACCCCCCCAGCTCCCACTGTGCTTTTAACCTCATGCACAGTAAGAACTTTTGGAAGTTTGTCTAGACTATAATATTATCATGTACAATGTATGTATAATTATGTACAATTATCACCACTTCCAAGGATAGACAGAACTTATGCAGAAGACTTGGATTGTGGGCAAGCAAACTATGTCTGTGGGTACATGGGAACCTATTGTTCCCTGGCAACTCCAACTTCCTTTTACTTTACTCATAATCATGGCTACACATACTTTCTTCACATACTTTCTTCATGTCTCGGCTCAATCATTTCCTGCACAAGCCACATAGTCCTGCCTGCACACATGCCACATGGTCCTGGAAGTACACATTTCCTGCACACACCACATGGTCCTGGTAGTACACATTCCCTGCACATGCCACATAGTCTTGGTACACCACATGGTCCTGGGAGTATATACACAAATAGGTAGTAGCCATTAAGTGCCACTACGTAGGTCGTGGATAAAGTCTTTGATGTTGCTTGCTGCGTCAGTGCATCCGTCCACCCCTATCTCCCCCTCACTTATGTATCTCCACTCCCAACGATGACAGATATCGTGTGATACCTAAGATGCACCTGGAAACTATGCAATTGTCCACACAGTACGTGCTTATAATTTGCCACGATTAAAAGGTGGTTCTGGCATCAACCTGTCATAGATGAAGTCCAGCCAGCCTGCTATTATACAAGACAGTAGCTATACATCAGATAATAAAATCCTTCTGAATGGATACAGCATCTTTAATAATCTCCCACAAACCCTACTACTCACCAGCTTTGTAAAAACCTAGCTATACCTACTATGGTATCCAGACAGTGATAATGACCCATTTCCTGCACACATCCTTGCAGCAAAGGGTAGTAAATTATGGTAAGTCATGTCATGGAAGTTACTTTGGAAGTCTGTACTTTTACTATACACACTGCTTCATTGCATGCTTATACCAAAGGCCATGTGTAGAGATAGCACAAAGCTGCTGGTAGCTAATGATCCCCTGCCTGAAGTAGCTGCCTCAGAATAGGCATGGTAATGGTAGTACTGATCACACCACTATAGCTTTCACCACATCCCCAGTGCCCACAAACACCCACTTCACTCCCAACTTTAGTTTAACCATATATGGCTATATACTCAGCAATAGCATGCACAAAAATGGATATTCTCATGTTAAGCATCAAATATCCCACAATACAAATAATGTAGAAGGATGCTATTATTCCCAATTCTGACACCCACTGCTTGTGGGCGGCTCATATGTTGTGGTTCCAAGCTTACCTCCCACACTACATGCATACATGAATTGGCCAGATAAGATGCCTCTCTCCTCTTTCACTCATTTCCTGTACAAACGTGGGAGAACTATGAACTGCAACTAAGTCACTGACAGTTACTTTTTTTGGCTGCTATTGCGTGTCCCCGCTTTACCGCAATGTTCCAACTTCCGTTACTAACGGCAACAGACGTTTTGTGAATAGGAGCCAATGATACTGGGCGGTCGCGGTAACAGGCGCTAAGTTCCGTCAAGCAGAGCATATAAAAGAAAAGCTGTCGTCCACATGCTCCCAAGTCAGTGAAAACCTGCTGAATTTTCAGCAACTTCTACTGCATCAAGTGGAGCGAAATGACAGCATTTTCCAGTATTCTACTTCTCGCAAGTTTGGCCGTCATGGCCGCAGCTGGGTCGTCGCCGGCGAAGGCGCCGAAGAGACGGCCCGGAGGGTACGTGGACCCACAGCGAGATCAGCGCGTACCTCGCGCCTTCTACACCGCGGGCTGGGCCGTGGAAATCACTGCTGGAGGAAAGAAGATGGCAGATCTAGTGGCCAGACGTAACGGATTTGAGAATCTCGGAGAGGTAGCTATAGCTAACTAACCACGCAGTCTCGGCTAATAACCATACGTTTATGCTCTTCAGATTGATGGTTTAGGAAATATATATCGCTTTGATCTGAGAGGAAGGGAGAGACAAAATGTTCACAGATACTCTCCATACGCAGCAAAGACTGTTCGTCTTTCGTCTGAGCCTTCCGTGAGTACAATTTGTACCAGCCCATTCGTTGGTTTTCATGAGTCCTCTGCGTGCGTGTATATAGGTCGGATTTGTTGAGCAGCAGACGGTTCAACCAAGAACTGCAAAATCCTACAGAGTACCGACTGATCCTCTCTTCAGCGACCAGTGGCAGTTGGCAAATGTATGTTTAACTGTCGCAACATCCAACTGCAAAGAAATTGAGAATAATTTTAGATACCTACCACTATTGTACATTCTTTGTAGGTGAACAATGGGCGCGCGAACGTTGGCAGTGATTTGAGGGTGGAACAGGCCTGGATGCAAGGGCTTACTGGATGCAATGTTACTGTAACTATTGTGGATGATGGTAAATCTTTAACTAGTTGTGTAATAACTGGTATCTATATCATATGTACCTTTTGCTTATTCAGGTCTTGACTATGTACACCGAGATCTATGGGATAACTATGTAAGGGCTTTAAAATTAATAACCATTGGCTACACGGCAGATTTACTGTGCCTATACTACAGGTCCCACAAATCTCGTATGATGTAATTGATGATGACCGTGATCCATCAGACCACTATCCAACACATGGAACATCCTGTGGAGGTATTGTTGGCGCCCTGAAAAGCAATGGGATTTGTGGAGTTGGAATTGCACCAGAAGTGAATCTTGGAAGTAAGTAGTAGTCATGTTTGTAAATATCTTCTATGTGCCTTTGTTTTACTTATTACCACCTCTTTGTCAAAGGTATTGCACTTCTTGGTTCAATGACCGATATGAATGAAGCACGCAGCCTGTCCTACAAGAGGAATATTGCAGACATCTACAGTAACAGCTGGGGACCATTCGATAGTGGGGATAATGTCGAAGGACCTGGACATCTGACATCACTGGCATTTGAGAGGGGAGCTGCAGAGGTAATGCGATACTTTCCAGTAAAAATTGTGGTCCAACAGCTTTTTATGTACAGGGCCGAGATGGGAAGGGTTCTATATTTTTGTGGGCTAATGGTAATGGTGGCGATGATGATGACTGTGCTGCTGATGGCTATGCATCCAGTATATACACCATTGCTGTTGGAGCTATTGGAGTTGATGGGAGGCGTAGTTTTTTCGATGAGGTGTGCGCTGCAAAAATGGTTGTGACGTACGTGACTGATGCTACTGGAGAATCTTCCGTGGTATGACACATTGTAGACAATCAACAGTATCCGAATTAATAATGGCATGATTTTTTCCAGTCTACTACAGCAGTAGAGGGACAGTGTGATAGCTACTTTGGTGGGACCAGTGCAGCAACTCCCCTTGCTGCAGGAGTTATTGCCCTCACCCTTGAGGCAAAGTATGTGGTGGTAATTACTAGCTACATGTGTAAGGCATTTGAGTGCTGATGGCTGCACAGTTCACAGCTTAGGGAGTATAGCTACTGTAGTGTGGTCTTGGGAAAGAGTGTGTCATGTAGTAAAATTTACAACTGGGAATTGTGTATAATTATAGCTACTTCCTCTGGTGGTTACCATCTCATTCACCCCTGTAGCCCAAGTCTGACATGGAGAGATGTCCAGTACCTGATAGTGTACACAGCTAATCCTCACCTGCCTTCCGGTCCTCTGACACGGAATGGAGCTGGTCGGGCAGTGAGTCGTCAGTATGGGTTTGGAGTGATGGATGCTGAGGCCATGGTCACCAGAGCTAGACACTGGGTCAATGTCCCTTCTCAGGTGGAAGATTGTGTCACACCTGCTCCAAACTCAGGGTGAGTTAGCATTATTAATGGAACACACCTGTTGTTGCAGTATAAGGGAAAGGGTTTTTCCGGTCTCTGATTAGGTCAGCAACACGTTCATCGCCACTGGTGAGGAGATTTGTCTACAGTGGCTCGATACGAAGTCTGGAACATGTGGTTGCTAACATGACTCTAGAAGTATCGGGTGGTTCACGTCGGGAAAGGGGAGATATAGCTGTACATCTAACGTCACCCAGTGGAACTGTATCCACTCTTCTTGGTTATCGTGAATATGATGACTCTCGTGAAGGATACGTAAACTGGCCATTTATGTCCGTCATGTTCTGGGGAGAAAATCCAAGTGGGGAGTGGACATTTAGAATCACATCAGCCTCGAGTTCCACTTTAGTTAGTATGAGTGGTTTAAAAATTCACTTCTACGGAGTGTCCCAAGTACCACAGGCGGTGACAAACATTCCTGACCAGTGTCACTCTGACTGCAAAAGAGGGTGTGCTAGAGAGGGCTCCAACTTCTGTGACTCATGTGACAACCTCCGCAATGCCTACACTCTGGAGTGTATCAGTCGGTGTCCCCCAGGCTACACCCCGCACAATGGCTACTGCTATAATTCATCCCTTCCTGTTGAAGAATGCAATTCACCGCTTAAGGTGAAGGAGGAAGGTGAGTGCAGTTTATAAGTATTTAATTTCACAGCATTATATTATGATGATTTCCTTCCTAGCCAAATGTGCTGATGCTGGGTTCACATCCTGCTGCACTGATGGCAACTGTGAAATGAGCACTGAATCCCACCCCGTCACCTGCTTCTGCGATGCTACCTGCTATAAATATGATGACTGCTGCAGTGATATAGCTGATATTGGGTGCTTGCCAAACAGTGGTGAGTCTTACACTGAGGTCTTGTCTGTATAATTAATCATACAAATTATAGCAACATGCAATACGCAATACGAGCAATTGAAACACGATTGTGTTAATACTTTTCTTGCAGATGTTGGAGTGTGTGGAGTACTTGAGTACATTACTCTTGGGAACACTGCAGGGGTACAGACAGTGTCACTACCTGATGTTGATGACGGTCTATCTGACACTGTCTCCGTTACTTTCCCTATGGGAGGTGATATTGAATCCCAAGTCCAAGTAAGAGAACTCCATACGTATACATTCCTAGTCCTTCAATAATTGTGGTTCTATCTACAGGTACATACCAACGGGTACTTCACTTTTGATGGATATGATGACTACAGTCCCTACGACTTTGGTACAGAAAACCGAAGCTTGGTGGCTCCGTTCTTCAGTGACATTGATATATCTAGTGGGAGAGGTCAAATCCGATATGAGATTCACACAGAGGCAACTTCCATGGAGATACTGTCTAAAGTCAATCAACTAATCCAGAATTGTACCGGGAAACACTTCAGGGGAAATTGGCTACTAGTCGCAACCTGGGAAGACACCCCGTGGTACGGAGAAACCATAGTAAGTGCATTGCATGTGATAATAAGTAGCTATTATGTAACAATGGTATATTCCTACTTTTAGCCAAACACCTTTCAAGGAATGATTGTGACAGACTCGACAACTTCCTTTGCCGTTTCCACTTACAAATGTGGAGACCTGACCTTCACACAGAGTGCCTCTGTTGGATTTGGCACAGAAGACGGGTTGTATGCTAACCACCAAATTTATTAGAAGAGGAAGTCCTGACAAGATTTCCTGCTTGAACACCCCCACCACACCATGGGTGAACGCCATATTTGAGCTTACCAAAAGCAGTAAGCACCAATAAAGCCTAAATCCCAGCTGATTTTAATTTTCAATTCTGTGTCTCAACACAGATATTGCAGTAAGCGCAGTAAACGAGTGTGAGACTGACAATGGTGGCTGTGAGCAGATATGTACAGACACATTGGCATCCTACGAGTGCAGTTGCAGAAATGGATACATTTTGAACAGTGACTCACACAACTGCAGTGGTAAACATTACTTAAGTTCATACTGTATATATTATAATAATAGTAAAAAAATTATCATAGTCAAATTTTCTCGGGGTGTTTCATGGATGAGATGGTCGTCCAAAGCATGAAGTTCTTAAGTGTTTACGGTACAGTACCTTATCAGTGGCGGATCCAGGAGGGTTCCTTGAGTTCCATGGAACCCCCCTTTTTGTTGTTTTGCGCACAGGCGTCGCCAACTTCATGCGTGTGCACAGGCGTAGTCGAAAACGTTCTGGACAGTAAACCCCCCCCTTCACAATCCTAGATCCGCCACTGATAATTATGGTAGTGCGCAGTCGGGGTTTTGCAAGCCAGATTTTTTACTTCTGTAGGTGTACACGCTTTAAAGTGACACTAATAATAATAATGTATTTTCTGTTTCTAACAGCTTTAGTTAATGAATGTGTGGACGAAAATGGTGGCTGTCAGCAGATGTGTAGTGATACGGCAGCGTCATATGTTTGCTCCTGTCACAATGGATTCTCTTTGGCCACTAATGAACACAGCTGCAATGGTAGGTTTATATCGTCTGCCACACCAAAAATTGACATCAGAGTCAATTTACGTTAATGTGCGTTATCCCATATTCTCTAGATATTGATGAGTGCTCAACTAATGGGCATGGATGTGGAGATGTCTGCATTAATAGTGAGGGATCATACTCATGTGGCTGCAGCGACGGCTATAC